ACCCGATTTTAGTTTCCAAACAAAATGCAAAGTCCCTACGACGTTAGGGTACAACGTCAATCCAACGTCATGTTGATGTCTTGTGCCAGCTGGGTGATTAAGGCCATTTCAGTCATCCTATAGTAAACATCTGTCATCTTTTCATCAGTGACATGCATCTAAACAGTCTCTGGGTCAGTGCGTGTAAACTTTTGGACATTTTCTTGGACTCTTAATGCTTCCAAACTGTTTTCTGGAATTATAAATGACCCATGTTTTAAGGTAGTTCATTATGATGTGATTTACCTTCTATGTGCGATTTGATTGGACAGGAATCACAGAACAGATTTTTCTAATCCCCATAAAGAAAAAATAAAGTAGTGACTAGAGATTGAAGGAAAGTAGTGGAGTAAAAGTACAGCACAGCACTAAAATGTACTAAGGGAAAGTAAAAGTGCACATTTTTAACATTGCTTAGTAAATTACAATTCCTAAGAAAAAACTTTAATTACAGTAATTTAAGTGTATAGTTTGTTACTTTACACCACTGCAAATAAGGCACAAACTTATTAAAACAAAGACAACATATGCACTATAAAAAGTAAAGACAAAAATAATTGCATAAGTTGTATTGATATAATAAATAAAGTAATAAATAAATTCTGATAATTTTCCTAAAAATAAAAAAACTTACTTTTGCAATGTTTGCATTTTGTACCCTGCCTATAATGTTTTTATGTTATTGCAAGACTTTTCAAACAAATGTTGAAGATTTGATGTTCCCTGTAATGTTCATTGAATAATTCATAGGGATTCTGAAAAGATTCTTTTGATTTCATATTAAAAGGTAGTCAAACTGTTTGAAATACGTGTGTAGTCCTTTGACCAGCAGATGGCAGCATTCTCTGACTAAAAAATATCTTGCATTGTTGACTAAAACACTTACATGTCTTCTCTTGGTTTAGTTTGACCTACAAAAATAATATTCGCAAACTGGACATTAATCATATAGAGTTTACTTTAAAGTTTAAACCAATACCACACAAAGCAGACCCATGCTTTGCTTTGCATTTTCTTTAGAGATATTGAAAATATCAGTTGTGATGTAAACTGTTATATTTACTCGTTTGGTTCTTGAATTTTTAATGCAGTGTTCCAGTTTATCTGCTGAATGTGCACAAAACAGAAGCTGTGTGTCAACACGACACCCTGAACAAGTTGAATTGATTCCAGATAGGTGGACTGTTGAGATGAGGTCTTTTCCTCGCCTCAGTCACAATCCTCCCCTCATCCATCAATCCCAAAAACTTCCACAACACCCAGAATCCCTCTTATGCTAATCAGCTTTATGTTGATGAAGGGCAAATCCATCCACTCTCCTCCTTCAAATCATCTTTTCTGTGTCCTTCTTTTCTCCTAGTGTGAATGATGGCCAAGTGTCTTCAACAGAGGAATGGCCCCTGTTGGAGCTGTTATCTGTGGCATTATTCTGCCAGAGCGATGGGCTGGACTCCGGAGGGGACAGCTGAGTCATTTGGCAAAGACCGCCGAGCCAATTGGTCAGGGAAGTTATGAGGACAACACTGGATTTGTGAGCACCTTACAGCACCATCTCCCCTCAGACAGCACAGCCAGCAGGTCAGGAATGACTTTCGGGACAAAAAAATCATTACCGGCTAATAACCTTTAGCTAATGTATAGAACTGTATGTTGTTTTATAGCTGAAATAAATCACAATAAAATGACGAGTGACAATGTTTTCTTGTTGATTTGTAGGTTTTTAGAGTGTAAACATCATGTTTTGTGGCTTAAAGGAGGAGAGAAAGCATTATTTTGTAGCTCAAAGCCTTTTCTTGTGTATTTGCAGCTGTTTGGGAAAACTTCCACAAGGTTATGGATTTGAGTTCCAGGAATTGCATTGTATAAGTCAGCAGAAAGCCCTATATACAGCAGTACTTCGATTTTTGTTTCTGATTAAATCGCTCAGTGTTTCCACATTATATTAACAGGTAGCTGTTAATAAGCAATACACTAAATCATTCTTTCTACTGATTTGATCAACACATTGATTCATTTAGGAACAACACAAGTGGCTATTAAAAAGTGCTTCAGTTAACGATTCTGTCAGCTGATTTGTTCAAAATGTTGTTTCGTACAGGAACAGAGCAGGTGGCAAAGCGAGTCATTGAATCATTCTTTTAACTGATTGCTCAAAATGGTGATTCATTTAGGAAGCACAGTCAGCAGGTCGGGAATGACTTTCAGGACAAAAAACTATTGCCAGCTAATATCATTTACCAGCCTGATCTCACAAGAAAACGTAAGTATTTTACGTTTTGCCAGTTTAGTGGCTAATTCGTACGAATTCGTACGAGTTCAGTCGTACGAAATGGTACGATTTTAAAAAGGAGGCGTGGCACCTGACCCCACCCCTAACCCCAACCGTCATTGGGGGATAAACAAATCGTACTAAATTGTACGAATTAGATCGTACGAATTCATACGAATTAGCCACTAAATGAAAAAGTTACGAATTGCCGTGAGATTGTGTTGCATTTACCTAATGTATTGTACTATATTACAGTTTTTCGTGTTTGCTTTGACCTGGTTAAAGAAACTAGGATCCAGTTCATTTTCCTTATCATTATCCCAGCAGATCAGAAGACATGTCTTGCAAATGTGTAACCCCTTTCTCATTGGGATGATATATTTTTCCCAACATTTTTCAAAACAGTTAACGCATACAGTTGAAGTCAGAATTATTAGCCCCCCTGTGTAAATTTTTTATCCCAAAATTTCTGTTTAATGAAAAGAAGATTTTTTTCAACACATTTCTAATCATAATAGTTTTAATAACCAATCTCTAATAACTGATTTATTTTATCTTTGCCATGGTGACAGTAAATAATATTTTACTAGATATTTTTCAAGACACTTCTATACAGCTTAGTGACATTTAAAGGCTTAAATAGGTTAATTAGGTAACTTGAAGGTTAGGGTAATTAGGCAAATTATTGTATAATGATGGTTTGTTCTGTAGATTATCAATTAAAAAAATTAGCTTAAAGGGGCTAGTAATTTTGTCTTTAAAAGGGTTCATAAAAATTTCAATCTGCTTTTATTCTAGTCGAAATTAAACAAGTAAGACTTTCTACAGAAGACAAAATATTATCAGACGTACTGTGAAAATTTCCTTGCTCTGTTAAAAATCATTTGTGAAATATTTACAAATAGAAAAGGAAAAAAAATCCAGTGGGAGCAAATAATTCTGACTTTGACTGTATATCATCTAAGCAGTCTAAACTCTATTGTTTTAGCTGGTAACCAAACAGAAACTATTCCTAACTATTAGAAACCTTCAAGATCAGTTTGAAATCTCTAAAGCACCGGTTAGATACTCCTTCACACAAATCTTCAATTAGCAATCAGTCAGCAAACCTGATAAAAAAAGGTGGTAGGTCTATATTGATCTCTGCCAGCATGGATGGAGGAGGTCAATAGTAGCTATGTCTTATAGTACTTATAGATTTTTTTTGTTTTGGTTTACATATGTTTGCTGAAATATTTACAATATTTAATTGGGTTATTTTTATTTTATTTTATTTTTTACAGTATTTCAGTTTTCAGCCGCAGTTTGAAAAAAAATGTAATGGAATCAATACAATTTTAATTTATTCTGGATTCAATTCTTTGCAAAAAGGAAAATTTGACACTGCCTACATTATGACAACAAACAGCACTGGTAATAGGCTAAAATGTCAAGCAATGGTGCACTGATTCACACTGAGTTCTGTATTTTTTAGTCTGTTGTGTAATGCTTGATTGAAAGAGCTCATGTACTTGTTTGCAATGTGGGTTGTTTGAAGGCAAAATTAGTTTTTGTTGCATGTTTAAAATGTTTTGGCACAGTTAGAGCCTTTTGCAAGCAAAATATTTCATTTTGACCATGAGTACCTGTTTAGGCCTGTGCGTTAACTGTTTTGAAAATGTGGAGTTTCAGTTGATGGCTGCATCAAAGCAATCAAGAAAAACTGTAAGTGTTGTAGCTGAAATAAATCTCAATACTATGACACGAATGACATTGTGTTCATACTGATTTGTAGCAATTTGGAGTAAAAAAAACATCATGTTTTGTGCATTAAAGTGAGACAAAAGGCATATTGTCTTTTAACACAAAGCTTTTCTTGTGTTTTTGTAGTTCAGCTGATTGGACAACCACTAACATGGTTATGGATTTAAGTTCCAGGAATTGCACGGTAGGTTTGTGGAAAGTCATATTCACAACTCAAACTTGATTTTTTTTACTGATTCAATCACTCAGTAATATATATTAGATTAAAAGTTGTTCATTGGCAAGTCACTAAATTATTCTCTCAACCAATTCATTCAAAACAATTTATTAATTTGGGAGTTACACAGGTGGCTAATCCACCTAATAATAAATCTCGAGATCTACCTCAGCTCAAACTACCCTCTCGCCCTGCAAATGGGAGGGAGCCCTGGGATCAAGGATGATCTTATGGCCAGCAGCAGCATGCCAAACAAGCTAAGTGTGAACTCTTGAAAATAAATAAAATTACCGCAGAAGTTTGTCACAAAAAATTCAAGTCACTTAGTATTAACTTTTTTTTTGAAGATGTGTTAAACATATGTTAATATTTGCCTGTCTTAAATGTAACATCACATTGTGTAAGCTTCTAATGTAATTGTGTATAACTTAAGTATGTTTCACATTTCCCAATAAAGATTAAAGCACAAGCATTGAACATCATTGTTTTGGTTGAAACAGCACATACTGGGATAAAAAGTAGTTTTATTCAAGTGAAATCTGGAGATTCAGTGCAATCTGATACAAGTTGAAATCTCAGAATCCCACAGAGCATGACATCTCAGTGTCATCACTGTTTCACCGGACTTATCTGAGAGCACACAGCTGTGCTCTTCCTTTCAACAGTAAAATGGCTGTCACATATCAGTGCGTTCTCGCCCTCACAGGCTGTTTTTGTGTCTCGCACTACCAGGGCCTGTTCCTACAGCAGCTGCCTGAATCCACACTAACAGCTCACAGGAGACACCATACATCTGCAGGTACGTGTAAAGGCACATCTACAATAACATTATTATTATTTGTCAAATTTATGCCTGCTGGTAGGAGTTTGATCATATTAATCGTGAAGTTTAAAATATTTTCTTTCAGGGTGTCAGGTAAATTTATGCTTGATTTATAAGTATAAATTTTAATTACAGAGTTCACACAATCATGCTGATTATTATGACAGAATTACTGGTGAGGTTATTGTCATTATTGCAGACTAATTTAAATGCTGAAATAGCACTTAAGTTAGTGGAAATAATGCAAATATTATTAGACATACGCTAAACTGCCACCCGGTTAGGGCAAACATTGCTAATTTTGCTTGAAAGATTGTGCATATTTACCAACAGTGGGCTGGTCTAGATTTATTGTCTACAGTGTGTATATAAGACATACTAGTCTTATGTTTCCACTGAGTATAAATTAATAACCTCAATTCAGGATTGCAAATCTAGCGTATACTTCAAAACAAGGGTGCCCTGGAGATCTACCTTTTTGCAGAGTTCAGCTCCAACCCTGATCAAAACAACCAAACCAAATAAGTAGGGTCTGAAGGAGTACTTAGTAATTAAAGACAGATGCGTTTAATTAAGGTTGCAGCTGAACTCTGCAGGTGGTAGATCTCTAGGAAAAGGATTGGGCACTCCTGGGCCCCATTTCAAAAAGAAGGTTAAGTGAAAACTGAGAGTATGTTAATCCTGAAATTAGAAACTCTGGGTTTTCATTTCAAAATAGCAGATTTGTCAAACTCGAGAAAAGTCTGTTTCTGATAGAGTTACTCAGTCAGTAGCCGCATTTCCACTGTCGGGCCAGTGCGAGCCAGGGCTTTAATCGGGCCGGGCTGGGCCTATCGCCTGGGAGGTTGAATGGTAAGGCCAAAATCATGTCGCGTGTCCACAGTCGGGCTAGTAGTAACCCCGCCCCCAGAACGTCCCCCGAATCAAAACGTTACACAACCCGCCCACTTCAACGGGAGTCCGGCAGATAAAGCACACCATCACATCATCACGAAACCATTCAAATACAGACATCCGAAACAAACAAATGACCCGTTACTGTACAGCAGTATATTATATGTCTATACGCACATACCTGTGTGTTCTCATTCATCATATTCATTTACTCAACGACCGACTGTTGGCATCGAAATTGAGTGATCTCGCCACTAACAGAGGGACCCAGCGCAGTGAGCGCACCAGTCCATAATATAAAACCATAGAAATTCTCTGTTAATAAAGACAGAAAAATGAAAAGAAAAAAGAAAATGTATTTTATAACATCCTTGTTTAGATAGACGCCATCAAACATTCAGCAAAATGCTCCGAAAAGACCTGAAACATTCATTTGTCCCTATAGGCTATATGACACTTAATAGGTGATTTGCATGACTTGATTATTATCATCGTATCCAAATACTTAATAAATAATATTTCAAACCTTCTTCGGTGTTTATTGTTTTTAGAAAATATCTAAAAATCTGGCCAGTTTAATATGGCTTTAAAACAGTTTGATTTATGTAGGCTATTTTATTTACTTAAATTGGTTTAGCTTTTGTTAGTTTTATATTGGTTTATTTATTTAATGCGATTTTATTATATACAATATTTGTAATCCTTTAAATTATTTCAATATAGCTTAGGCTATTTATGAAGATATTACACTATTGTTTTGAGCCTACTTTTTTTTTTAATTTTTTAAAGTCTTTCTGTTGTATTCATCCTGTGTATTATCTCCAAAATAAATAACAAAAAGAAAAAAGCTGCGCGGCATCAACAGAGATGTGAAGGTAGTGCACTTTTCCTCTGTCTCACACACACACAGACAGGCATCTAAACTCGCAGAAACACACCTTTTAAACTTGACAAAAACTCTTGAAAACCTTTACTTTCTGCTGTGTCTTTAATATGGTGTAAAGATTATTATGCGTTATTTAAACATCAAGGAGGATGCAACAAAGAATGTCACTCATAAGTTAAAACTACTTCATTATTTTATGCAACAGCCTTATGTTTAAAAGGTAAACATAAGGGCGATCATACGCAAAAAGACCCCCAGCCAATGATGTTTTCTGTCTCTTATTTATTTATTTGTTTGTCACATACTCATGTGCGATCGGAAAACTGTGTCCGCCTCTCCTTTCACTCTGCCCCGAAGCCCAAGTTTGCCCTCTTTGGCCCAAGGTATTCAATGGGCCGAAAAAGGAAACGCGACTGGCCTTGGCTCGTCCTGGCTCGCTCGCTTTAGGCGCGATATTGGAAACGCGGCTAGTCACTCACTCAGTTTACTCAGAGTCAGTTACAGTGGATCGCCCGTGTCTCAACTTGCACCTAATCATTGCACCTGCTTTTTTTGCTCACACGAATAGTTAAAAAATCGTGCTGCTTCTCGGTTCTAAGAGCAAATTTTCACACATATTGACAAACGGTCTTAAACTAACATTCTAATCTTTAGAGACGAGGCAGCTCTGGCAATTTAAAAATTATATTCAACCTGTCTAACCCGCCACAGCTGAAATCTTCCCACATTTGGTGGGCTGGCTAGTGTTAATGTCATAATGTATAGCCTATAATTTACAATTGGTTGACAATGCAGCCCACCATTATCAATATATAATGTATTCAAACATTTTATTCTTAAATTTTTACAAATAATCTAAACTAAACCTTGCAAATGAGTGCAAATAAGTAGACTAGTTTTTACACGAAAGTGCAATGATTCTATAAATTAAAAATCTAATTTTGGAGCAAAATTATGATGATAATTGGTTGGCTATAATCGTGCTGCCCTAGAATTAAAAATAATGGTACAAATCTTATTTTGTTCCTCCAGCTAATTAATTAAATGACTTTCTGCATACATATCTTGAGCTTTTTTCCCCTCTAAACCAGATTAATCTGTTCATTATTTTATGTTTAATGGAAATGTCTAAAAAGTCTGGTGTTATCCTGGAAAAATGGTTTTCTGCACAAGGGTAATGTTGCTTCTGTCATAGTGCAGTGAGAAGGTATCAAACACCACTCAAATGTCACATTTTTCATTAAGTGTACAGCAGCTTAGTCACCATGACTGACAGCCCATCCTTTCAGCCACTGCCTATCAGCAAGCTGAATGGACATCTTTGGTGTCTCTCTCCGAGACGAGAGGACATCTCTGATGTAACAGGGATAAAAGTCTGCGTGTGTCCTTTCTGAAAGAGACTGACTTGATGTGCGTATCACGTGGCCTCTCTTCCCTGAGCAGGATACTTTACTACCGTGTAAAGAGAGAGCAGAATACTAAATCGCAGTGCTCTACGTCACATTTGACACAAGGCAGACTTATCTCTGTGGCAACCGACATGCCAGGGTGTCCTAGAGCTGATTTCAGACTAGCTGAATTTAAGGCGAGACATTACAGGCAAGGATGCACATGCACATTTTGAGATTTTGTTCTTTTTTTGCTTTTTTCAGTGATTTTTTTTTCAGTATAGTGTAAAGAAAACATCCAAAATACACCCAAGTTATTGTTTTTATTTTAATTGCATTCATTTTTACCTGTAGATTTCAGTTACAGTAACAATTTGTTCTTAAAATGAGCTATAAACCTCATGTGAATAAAGCTGTGAAGTTAAAGGTTTTCTATGGCTGCTGACATAGAATACATTAAACTTTACAGTTTTATTGGTATGATCACACTTGATTCGCTTGATTATGTACAACATTTTATCATTCAAAATGTAAAAGGATATTTATCTGCTCTCTATCTGTTTGCAGGATTTTATTTTAATTGTGGAGTAATGAAAAGAGATTCCCAAAATCCCCTATATAAATTTGACTCTTAGGGCTCTATTTTAATGATGAAGGTGCAAAGTCTAAAATGCATGGCACAAAAGGGCGTGTCTGAATCTGTTTTTGCTATTTTAAGGATGGAAAAATACGATTTGCACCATAACGCATGATCTAACAGGGTTGAGCTTATTCTCTGAATGAGTTATGGGTGTGCTTTGAGCATAACGTGCATTAAACCAAGTCTCATTTCCCATTCCCTTAAAGAGTCAGTTGAGTCGCTCTACGACACATTAGATAGGGCCAATAATATGTGAAAAAACTGACTTCATCCACTGTAGATTTACATTTTTGTGTTTAGAAATGTATGCAGATTAGTGCATTAATTTAATTAAAGTAAACATCACCTGCGTATAAAATTTTAGAAAAAAATTCGTACAATTCTTGATGATTCAATCAAATACAGTCAGAAAAAGCCCCCCTTTGATTTTTTTTTTTTTAATATTTCCCAAATGATGTTTAACAGAGCAAGGAAATGTTCACAGTATGTCTGATAATGTTTTTTTTCTCTGGAGAAAGTCTTATTTGTTTTATTTTGGCTAGAATAAAAACAGTTTTCATTTTTTAATAATCTACAGAACAAACCATCGTTATAGAATAACTTGCCTAATTACCCTAACCTGTCTAGTTAACCTAATTAACCTAGGTAAGCTTTTAAATGTCACTTTAAGCTGTCTAGAAGTGTCTTGAAAAATATCTAGTCAAATATTATTTACTGTCATCATGGCAAAGAAAACATAAATCAGTCACCAGAAATGAGTTATTGAAATTATTGTATTTATAAATATGTTGAAAAAAAAATCTTCTCTCCATTCAACAGAATTGGGGAAAAAAAAATAATTCAGGGGGTTTAATAATTTTGACTTCGACAGTAGATAATAGAAGTATGATGATAACTATTAGTTTTAATTTTTTCAATTTAATTATTATCTTACTTTACTACTTTATGGCTTAAGGGAAATTATTTAATGGAAACATAATTTACATTTTCTTCCAAGTCATCATCATGATTTAGCTCATTTCATGGAATTAAGGTGCATTTGACTGTTGTGTCACCAAGGTCGTTTGTTATAGATTACATTCATAAGTGGTATTTGTGAGCTTATATCTCACTGCCGCTAAAGGCGATTTGTTTAAATCAGTGAAGTCACTCTTGCATTGAGAGTGGT